AGTGGGAGAGATAGGCATGGGCGGGGTATGGTGTAGGGTTAGGGCACGAACCCAAGAGGCTCGGGCCGGGGTGAGGGTACAAGGAGGACCATTGGTTGGAGCCGGCATAAGATGGTCGGGGGTGTGATCCGGAGTTTCTACCACAACCACGTCCACGGTTGCCGCCACTGCGATTCGTCTGCCGTCCATAGCCACCGGTTCCCCGTCCACTGCCACCATAGGAGTTTCTTCCCAGATTGTTGCTGCCCATCTGCTGCCCGCCGCCTACGCCACTTCCAGCGTGGTGGTCGTCGTGCGCTGGGGTGGTACGGCCAGCGACCAGCGACCAGCGCTCTATCGTCGCCGTCCGCGGAGCCTTGCTATCGATCCAAAAGCATGAGTGCGGATCGAGTTTGAAGAAAATTGGGCAGCGGATTTTGGAATTGAAGAAACGACGTCTGAGCCTCTAGATCCATAAGCAGCCCACGGAGCATATGTAAAACCAGTTGAGATTCGGAAACAGGTGCATCAACATCATCAAGCCAATTAGCGATATTCCTCAGAGTTTGGCAGTAGGTTGCCATGGTCATGGTGCCTTTGACCATGGTTCGGAACTGTGCTCGAGTTGCATGGATCGAGCGTGTTTGTTGTCATAAAAAAGAGCATGGATGACACGCCATAATTCAGAAGCAGTGGTGGTAGAAGAGATGACTAGATCGGAGACTTCATTGGTGATGGTTGAGAGAATCCATCATTGGAGCAGGGCATCAAGTTGAAACCATTCATCATCATCAGAGGAGGAGGGAACATGAGAGCCGGTGAGAAAGCCCTGAAGATTGAAACGTCGAACCAGGAGCATGAAGAGACGACTCCAATTTTTTGTAGTTGGGTTGAGAGAAGCTGAGTTGAATAGGTATGTGAAGTTTGACATTAGATATGGTGGTGAAGGCGAGATGAGGAGAAGCCAGGGAAGAAGTCGGTGTCTCGGACTAGGTGGTGCTGGCCATGGTGGCTTGGCCGCCGGTAGCTGCTAACGAGAGGGAGAATAGGAGGCCGACTGTAGGGGCGGCTGGTTTCCGGCGAGGGCAAATCCAAGAGAGAGGTGACGTAAGAGGGTGGGCTAGTGTTTGTGTGTGTGGCTCCGATACCATGTAAAATTGGTATTTTTCTTAATTGATTCAATGTATGGTACATCATTTATATACAAGAATAGGAACTCTTAAACATGGCAAGAGTAGGTGTATGGAAACTAATATATTTACAATAATAATTAGAATATACACTTTACTTAAATATAATATGATATATTTAACACAGTCATTGAGAACCATCACTACACTTTCATCTACAACCTACTACACTACTCCTGCACTAACATCAATAACCTCTGCCCTAATGGTGGTGAGGTGAGAAATATGTGGTGGGACTTTGGAGAGAGATATCTGGGAAAGTGAAACACATTTAGGAAGCAAATAACATGTGCTGAAGAAGTTCCTTTTTTTAAATTTAAAACTATCATGTGTGTTATTTTGAGATAAAATCACGAGACTCATATTTTGAGATAAAATCATGACAATTCTATTTTGAAGATAAGTGTCATATTTTGGTATTATATAAAAATAAACTTCTAGAAGGTACATATAAACAAAAATTATCGAGATATCGTAATAGTAATGAGAGTAGTCATTTTAAGATAGAGGAGTATTAGAATAAATTTATAGAAAACTACTCCATAATTCTTACATATGAGGCATTTGTGAACAAACTAGTTCCGGGGCCACTCACTTATGTGGTCATGGAGACACTGTCCTTCTACGGTGCTCGTTCCCAAAATTGATATTTGCTATCTTCTCTAACCCCCTGATAAACCCCTCATCCAATCTTGACCCTAATCCATTCCCCCACCCATGTCAATTGCTCCAGCAAATTTAGTTGACTTTGAGGTAAAAAATTTGACCTCAAAGTCAACTAAACTTGTGGGTGCAATTGGTGTGGATCGAGGGATAGGTCGGGATCGGGACTGGTAAGGAGGCTTAGAAGGATTGGAAGGGGACTATCAATTTTGCAAACTAAATATCGCAAGTGCCCCAAATTTCACTTTCACTTTTTGTTGGATAAAAACTATCATTTTTCACTTTTTGCTTTCTAGAATTTTTTTGGTTAGTTCAAAAAAATCCAGAATAAAAAAACAAACTGAAAAAATTGAAACATGCAAAAAAAGGCATACAAAAACGAATTTTCAAAATGCCAAAAAAATCTTTAGAATTGAGATGTCCAAAAATGATTCATTTTTATTTTTTATTTTATTCCACATTTTTTTGAAGTTCACAAAAAAGTTATTACTTTTTTATTCCAGAAAATAAAAAATAGAAAATGTTAATTTGAGACATGTAGATGCAGTATATGTTAATTATTTTTTCCAAACAAAAATAGTTTTAAATTTTAAGAATATAATAAAAGTGATTTAGAAAAATTTAAAAACCCTTGATTAATAAAAGAAATAAAAAAGAAAAAAGAGAAAAACAAAAAATAAATGAAAAATAAGAAATAAGCACCAGTGCCCCATATAATTTATGAAATAGGCAACAATGTCACGGAAACTTTAGAAATAAGTTTAAAACACACTAATGATATTGATGCATATTTTTCAAACTATGAGAGGTACTGGTACTATTTGGCCTACTTTTTAAATATGAGAATTTACATAAATAAGACTAAAACATAGTAAATATGAGAATCGACCACTGGACATTGTTCAAATTAAATGTTCACCATCACATGACATTGTTTCCGCCACTAGACATTATTTAACTACTATTTACGGAATTAAAAAAATTAAGTGCTACATTGAGAAAAGATATATGTTTTACTATTGTTTAGTACAAATTTCAACTTTTAAATACGTTGGTATGTAACTTTAATTTTTATTTATATACCAATCTTTAAATAGAATGAATTAAAAAAATTTAAGATTTTATTTTATTTTACATAAAGTGTAAATTATTTAGGGACACAATGAATATTTTAAAATTAGAAACTGAAAAATCACCTACCAATAAAACTATTTATAAAATTTATTCAAAAAAAAAGATTAATCATCATATATCATCATCTTCACCTAAGGGATCTCGAACACCCCCATTTCTTTCCTCTTCCGCCTTCCTGTCATCTTCATCACTACAATATTGCATAATCCCCCATTGTTAACATTTTTTCCTTTATACGCTAAGGGAACTTCTGTGGCCCAGTTCCCTAGCGGTACTTCTCGTAACTTCCCCGACATTCGCGGGTAAACCCTTCAAGAACACGGAATACAGTGTGTCTCCGTCGGTCCCCCGGCCGCCGGGTACCGGAGAAGTCTTGAAGCTGTTCTATCACTCTATCAGTCAGTGCCTAGGGATTGGTAGTGGTTTTCATTGGGTAATATTGGGATTGAATTTCGAAAATGTGGAGGCCGGTAGTTGAGATCTGGAGCGATTCAGTAGAATGAAGGGACAGGCTGCTGAGAACATAGCCGCCACTGCCGCTTCTAGGGGTTCTCGTCCTCATTTTCATAGCAATTTCCCGTTCCAACTTCTAGATGACTACCACTAAACGTGCTTATAAGCTACGTATCCTTCTCAATTTTATTATTCCTCTTTTTTTCCCATTCTTATGCTGGATAATGAATTTAGATTACTAACTGAAATATAATTAAAAGGAATTTGGTCTATGGTGCTCATAGGTGCCATTGGTTAAAAGATTTTGCAACAACAGGGTAAATTTCTTTTTTGTTTTGTTCTGTTGGCCTTGATGTTATGCTGTCATAGAGGAGTTTGTTGCACATTCTTTGAGTGTCAACTGCCTCAAGATTGGGCGGAAGTCGTCGAGGGTTCTTGTAACTGGTGGAGAAGATCACAAGGTTAATCTTTGGTCCATTGGGAAGCCCAATGCTATTCTGGTTGGTTCAGTTATCCTTTTCATTTTCTAGTTTTCTAGTTTTCTTGTCTACACATGTGTTAGAGACAGTCTCTCACATCATATGTTAAGCTAAGTTGAGACATTGGACGACAACACCATTGTAAGCTAGCAGTACCATGCAGTGTTTCTTTATTGTTAGTATCAACAAGAAGTGGAATGTAGTTTGGTGATATATTACTCTGCTCATTAAGTGCCCATTTGGTGTCCATTTTCTCTGCCTCATCAGCTGCTTTTTCATAATAAAGAACTAACTTATTGACTGTCTTGGTGAATAAGTTGATGATGAAACGAAGCGCAAAATGTACTTTTTTTGCATAACTTATGGAATGAATAAAACAACTGTTCTACACCATTTTAGATATTGGGCTCGTTTTGTGCTGATTTTGATTTTGGCTGATTTTGATTCTTAGAATCAGTTGTTTTGTGGTATTATGGATTAGACAGTTCGTTGATTCTGACAATCAGATTCTGGTGAACTGACTCCTCAACTCATTCTAGACAGAATGTGAAACAAACAAAACACTAGCTGATTGTAGACAATTTTGAGAATCAGAATCAGCCGAACATTAGGAACCAAATGAGCCCATTTTTAAATTAATTTACTAAGCATTTTTTGTAGATTTTTAGTTGACTCTGCAAGTTTACCCAATTTACTCATATCACCCACAATTTCCGCAAACTCTGTCACTTCGGCCATTTTGACTATTGCCAAACCAGCTCTAAAAGTGTGTTTTTGTTCTAGTTTGTTTCGGTCATGTTTTTGTGTTGCAGCAATTCTGCTGGATTCTAACTTGATGATTATATTCGCTTTGGAACCCACACATTAATTCAATTATCCATTGGCAATGCATTGTTCATATTAGGCCTTGTGCCTCTATTATGTGTAGAGTCTGTCAGGCCATTCAAGCGGGATTGATTCAGTTAACTTTGATTCATCTGAAATTTTGGTAGCTGCTGGAGCAGCAAGTGGCACTATCAAGCTTTGGGATTTAGAGGAGGCCAAGAGTATGCTTGCTCTAATATCTTAGGAATTATTCAATTTTTAACTTTGGTTTACCATTCAATATCTTCTTTTTATTAATTGATTTTCTTTCTCTTCACTTTAGTTGTCCGAACTCTCACTGGACATCGCTCCAATTGTATATCTTTGGACTTCCATCCCTTTGGAGAATTCTTTGCATCTGGTTCTCTAGACACAAATCTCAAGATATGGGATATCAGAAGAAAAGGTTGTATCCACACATACAAGGGTCACACTAGAGGCATTAATGCCATCAGGTTCACACCAGATGGCAGGTGGGTTGTATCGGGTGGAGAAGACAATACTGTGAAGGTATGATCCATTCGTAGAATGTGCCATTCAATTGGCAGGACCTTATTTGGTTTAAATAATTAACTCTTCATTGACCCAAGAACTAGGAAGATCCTTAAAAAGATGTTCTCGTTATTTCATTTGGCGTCATTCATACCATCTTTGTCTTGTTTCAATGAGTCAGCATCCATGACTTGTTTATATAAAAAGAAAAATCTTGCAATTGGAACAACAATTTATGCACATTTTACTTCCATTTGTGCTATAGCCTAACCATATGTCTTTTCAACTTTGTGTCCTGACTTTTGTCCATTGTAGTTCCAGCTGTTTCATAATGGTTATATACAATTTTAAGCCGGCCACTTCTGGAAACAATGTTGTCAAAGAATAAATAATAAGTTCCTGACTGATTCTACATTGTTGCAGCTGTGGGATTTGACTGCAGGAAAGCTGATGCATGAATTTAAATGTCATGAAGGCCAGATTCAGTGCATCGATTTTCATCCTCATGAGTTTTTGCTGGCAACAGGTTGGAGTATGCATCTTGACATTATGTTGCCCAATTTGTTACTTGTATTAATCAGTCAATCTTTCAACTACTTGCATTTGTTTGCTATTTTTTTCTTGTGCTGTTTTCTTATGTTGTTCTTTTGAGCTGGGGTTCTTATGTTGTTCTTTCTTAATAGATGCAAAACTACAAGACAAAGAGTAAAAGTCTAAAGTACAAAACTACAAGAATTTAGTAGATACAGAGTATTAGTGTTGCCCCACAATTATGTTGTTTGTCTCGCAATTGTGTCCACTTTCCTTTTCCAAACACCCTTAACTTTTACCTTTTCGAATGTATCCTTTATTGGCATGACATGTTAACATATCCACTCAATTTTGCATGAAAGTTACCGATCTTTTGAGGGTAAAATTTAATATCAATGAAATATCATTTGTTTTTTATTATTTGTGGAAAGCAGTTGGACTACTTGTCTATTTCGATCTAACCACTGAGCCATATAAAATGGGACTGAGGGAATATTAGATTATATAAATATAATAGATGTATTGTTATATGTTTTATTCGTTATCAACTCAATGAGTTTGACTAGTCTATTCTGATCTAATCACTGAGGCATCGAACACCTATTTGATTGGGTCAATAACTGATCTTGTGTTATACCTTGATTATATTCGGTCCTTGCTTAAACTGCACAGGCCACAGAAACAAAAAAAGTTTGTGTGAATTGTAGCGATGTATTCTTCTCTTTGTATATTATGAAGGGGACCTGTCAATTGGTTATTCTCTTTGTGAACAACCCATTAGATTCCACAAGTAGGGTCTGGGGAGGGGAGAGAATAGATGAACACAGACCTTACCTCTACCCAAAAAGGCATAGATGCTGTTTCTAGAAGACCTCATCTCAGAAAACAAACCAAAACATGTTATTCTCTTAGTAAAAGTCTCTCAAATGTTATCTATCTCACGCGTCTCTTTAACAGGTTCAGCTGACAGAACAGTTAAATTCTGGGATCTGGAGACCTTTGAACTTATAGGTTCTGCTGGACCTGAGGTGACTCATTCTTATTGTCTATATTTCCCCAAATGTCATTTCAGTTTGCAACTCCTGGAAAATTTATCTTAAAATTTACCGGCTTGAGTAAATAATTTGTTGTTTGAATGTATTGCAAATAGACTTCTGGAGTGCGCTCTATGACGTTTAACCCTGATGGTAAAACCCTGCTATGTGGTTTGCATGAGAACATGAAGGTTTGATAGTGTATTATCCCCTGCTAATTAGATATTTGATTAATTTCTTATGGAGCATGTCTTCTTTTGAGCTTTTGTTTATGAAGTGCCGTTCTACTTTCATAGGTTTTCTCATGGGAACCGATTAGATGTCATGACACTGTAGATGTAGGTTGGTCTAAATTGTCAGATCTGAATGTCCATGAAGGGAAGCTTCTTGGCTGCTCGTACAATCAAAGTTGTGTTGGTGTATGGGTTGTGGATATATCGGTATGCCTCATTTTGGTTCAATTGTGATTGTCTTGTTTATGTTTCCACACTTTGGTTTTATAAGTAATATATATTTGTGATGCATGCGCGCACAGCGTATTGAACCATATACAGCCAGAACTAATACTCGATTAAATGGTCACTCGGATGGGAAGTCTAATTCAAGTGATACCTTATCGGGGCTGGCTGAGGATTCTGGTAAATCTAGCTTAAGCAGGCTTTCAATTTCACAAAATTCTGATCCTGCCAAAGAAACCAAATCCTTTGGAAGATTGTCAGATTATCAAAACCAAGACATTCAAAGAGAGTCCAAATCTCAGACAAGTAAGCTATTTTTGATATTAAAATCTTTTCAAGTAGAATTATATCCAATCATTAATTTTTATTATTTAATCATATTACTACAATGTTTTCTATTATTTTTGAGTTCCTCCTTTAGATTTGTAATTCCAAATATTTTTATTGAGGTATTTGTGACATTGCGATGACCTATCTGCTTTAATGTAGCCATTGTAAATGCTACTAGTACCCCACAGAGGATGAACCTGAATGTTGGTCAGAGAGCAACTTCACTAAACTCAGTTGCAGCTCCTAACGTGACGGCTCTGAAGAGGAATTCAACCAAACTTCAACTGACAACCAATTCTTCAGCTCTCAATAGGTCAGATGTGGTGCCTGTTATTGTTCCAAGAAATAGTATACGGTTAGAGCACCCAGCTGAATCCAGGAAAGGAGTTTCAGGCCTTGTCCCACTGCAATCCCTGCAGTTGAAAACATCTGATTTACACAAGTTTTCAAATCCAGCTGAAGAACCAAGAAGACAAACATGTTCTGTAGAATCTAATTTTGATGTCCCAAAACCTGCTGAATTGGGGGGAGTGTCTGATAGGAACATATATGCTACACTAAAACATTCAGCAATTGGGAATGCTGCATCTGAAAGGAATATGAAGGATGACAAGCATTTGGCTTCTCTAAAGTTTGAACAATGTACTGCTGTTGAACCTCTTGCCAGAAACCAGCCGGAAAGCTGTGCGTATTCACTCTTAAGCTGTGGCCTCTTTCCAGTTTTGCATTATTGTCCCTTTTTTTCCAAACATGCATCAAATCATTCTTATTAGGTGGTGATGAACAACCATGTTCCACATGGTGATTTTGTTGTAGATTTTGTTGCAAATTCTACACATTGTGTTTCTTTAGCTGATTCGTCAACAACCTAATGGAGCCCCACGATTGGGGTTTTGGGGGGGTGGGTATTCACTGACCTTATGAGACTGTTTCCAAAAGAAATCTCGACTAAAGAAAACATAAAATCATGTTAGAGCCATCAAATATTTAATGACATTTAAAGTTAAAATGATTGTAACAAAGAACGAATAAGTATATAACAACAAACATAATCATAGACCCCTACAAAGGCATCCCACGAGACCTAACTCCCTCCTAAAACATGACTAGTCTAATTGCCCCACAACTTGAATCTTCGACATCTGATGTTCAATATAGATTTTCATGTCCTCAATGAGTTGCAGTAATGACACATCATCTCTAATCACCTCACCCAACTCTTTTTCGGGCATCCCCTACCTGTCCTCCAACTCTTCTTTGCTTACTTCTCGCACCTCCTCATAGTGCATCAGTGTTCCTTCTTACTCAACATATGCCCGAACGTCCTTAACTCCGATTCAAGCACTCTATTCTCCACAGAAGTCGTCCTCCCCTTTTTCACGTGCTTCATATTTTGAACTCTTATCTTGATAATGATTTCTTACTAACTTTTTAATTCATTGGTTCAATTAACATATATTGCCTCCAACTTCTATTTCCTTTCACATACACCAAACTCTATTTCCGTTGTCTTTTTGCCTCTGGCTTCCTTTCCCCTTCAGAGCATTTGGCTTGCTGGTTGTTATGCGGCTCCAATTATTGGAAACACTCATTTATGGAACACTTTTATTTGAACTGCATGTAATCACTATTTTCATAATGTAGTTTTATTTGGGCATAAGTAGACCAATTCCCTTGATTCACCGTGCGGGGAAATAATTATGTGCAAGAATTCACTTACTGGATGATCTATTTTCAATACTCAATAGAGTCAATACCATGGTTGTTTTCTCTCATCCGTGAAATTTATGGTGTCCATATGACAGGATCATTTCAAGTTGTTTCTGTGGCCTGATGATTGAACTAGACTTGATAGTTTGATACTCAACTCACTCCTTGGTGCACATATACTACTTGTAGGCTTATAGCTTCTGAGCACCAGCAGTATTGCTTCTTAGAAATTTAATTCTGATTCCACTTATTCCACTTGCTGCTTGATGCTCCCTTGTTCCATAAAATAACGATGTTTCACAAAGGTGCAATTTTGTTTTCATGTTTTTAGTTAGGTGCAATAATTGGAAACCATAAATTATAGTTATATTTTTAAATTTATTTGTTCGTTAAACTATTTTGTCACACTTAATTTGTTTGGACACTTTTTTTTTACCATGAAAACATTAAAAGATAATGAAATGTAGCATCATTTGTTCAAACAAGACCCTTTTCGTTGGGATCTTTTTGGGGAGAAAATTGTCAACCAGTTTTTTTGGGGGGGAAAGGAGTAAAAAGTAAGGTTGTGAAATCACAGGACTAGTGCTCTGCTTAATGCGTTATTTTGCTGCAGTATCTATACAAGGTCCTGTGCATTTTTTGCTCAAGGATTTCTATAGACAATATACCATCAAGACTGTGTCATCTGATTATTTCATGTAGTTTTTTTCTCCTCTAGATAATGTCAAGAGTATATGATACTTTATCCATTGTTGAATGCTAACCCTTATTTACATGTCAGATGACACCCAAGGCATTGTTTCTAATAAAGATGCATATTCCTCAGAAAATCAAAGGAGAGGTATTCTTTCTTTGTCACTTTTAAAATGAAAAAATTCATATATTGTGCGTAAATTGTAAATCAAGGTCAACAGAGGTGTCACTAAAACCTATACGCACATGAGGGATAAGGNGTTGTGAAATCACAGGACTAGTGCTCTGCTTAATGCGTTATTTTGCTGCAGTATCTATACAAGGTCCTGTGCATTTTTTGCTCAAGGATTTCTATAGACAATATACCATCAAGACTGTGTCATCTGATTATTTCATGTAGTTTTTTTCTCCTCTAGATAATGTCAAGAGTATATGATACTTTATCCATTGTTGAATGCTAACCCTTATTTACATGTCAGATGACACCCAAGGCATTGTTTCTAATAAAGATGCATATTCCTCAGAAAATCAAAGGAGAGGTATTCTTTCTTTGTCACTTTTAAAATGAAAAAATTCATATATTGTGCGTAAATTGTAAATCAAGGTCAACAGAGGTGTCACTAAAACCTATACGCACATGAGGGATAAGGAAGGATGTTGTTTTCTTTCAAATGGTGGTCATTATTGTATATCATGTGGAGTCTGAAACATTATATTCTACATTAAAATCATTTAGGGAGAACACGACCACTTGTAGAGAATTGGGACAAGAGAGAAAGAGCTTCTCATTATGAAGGCTTTTCAGGCAGTGGTCTTACTGGGAACCTACCTGCTCAGAGTGCATTCCAAGCTAATAAAGTATGTTTATATATGATGCATGCCTGTTCTAGTTATCAGACAAGCTAGAAACACTAGATTATATTTGCTTTGACATTTTAAAATTTGAACAGAAGGGGCACAATTTATTAACTGAAAAGGAGATGACTTCTATTAGTGACGAGGATTTCATTTCCAACCTCATGGAACAACATGATCAATTTCTTCACTCAATGCAGACTCGGTTAGCCAAATTCCAAGTAAGCAGTGATAATCTCATTGATTGTTTGCTTACTTACTCATGTTTTTCAAATTCTGATTCTGGCATTCTGCTGAAAAAAACAAAATGATTTTTCATTCTTTAAGTGACATAGTACAGTGATCTACTTCATTTAGTTTACCAGAGTATGAAGAGTTTTGATCATGACCTAGAATGCTAAGGTAAATGTGGTCTAAAGTCTAACCTAGGAAGCATACATGGAGACATAGAGAGGACATATTTGGGACATGCATATCGCGTGTTCCTTATTCTTTTCTCTTTTTTAAATTTGGGACACACTAAGGACACTGTTGATATGTTTTTTTTAACAACCTTTGGATATCTCATTTTTCACTCCCAACCTTCATCTGTCATTATTCTGAATCATCACTCACATGACCTGGTGATTCTGGTCTTTCTCTTTTTGAGGTAAAAGGCCTAGATATTGCTGGGTGCCAGGGTCTTTTCTTCACAACAGCACTCTTTCAATAATTGCCCACTAATGTTTCATGGATTTTTCTTGATGCTCCAATTAGTGTATCGACTTCGAACTACTAAACATTATTGGCATTGTTTATTTTTATTCTATATTTTAATGTTTAAAGTTACGACTCTAGTAGTCTAGTGTGATTGTGTGAACTATGAAATTGGTTTTTATTTAAAAAAAGTGTGGACATTACATTCTCAGTTTAAAACTCATAATACTTTCCGCGTTCCCACTGTTCATGTATTTCATTGTTTTAGAAATTTTCTTTTTCCGCACCCACACCACACCAGCACATGTACTCACACCTGTGCCCAGACTTCATAGACTGTAACTATGAGAGCTTGCCTGGTCGCCTGAGGCGCCATAGGCGAGAGAGGTGAGTGCATTTAACAACTAAGGGTGTAACTTATAATTGATGTTAGCACCCAATTTTTTTCTAAGTATTTGACTGTGCGTCACACTCCGGGTGCTGAGTCAAAGAAAACTTGTGTACAAATTCAAATATTGAGGTAAATATGAGGTGAAAATATTAAAAAACATCCTCATGTAATCGTATATATTAAGCCTAATTATGACTATTCAATTCTTTGCACCTGGTGTGAAATGGAATCTATGCTAACCATAAGTTAGAACAAAATTGCTAAAATGCATGGCTGCTGACTGCTGAGGGCTGTAATATCAAGGTGTGAATGAAAGTTATGCAACATAGGGTGATGTTCTTACTCGGTACTGCTCTTACTTGATATCCTGACATGAATTTAAACCGTTGCGAAAAAAGAATTAGGACATAAAACACTACTAAGTATGGTTACATTGGACTATCAAAGCAAGGTGAGTGTAGAATGATGCAAGTTCGGTGTGCTTATGTACTGAAGAGATTTATATACTGTATCAATTGTTGAAGATTATCACTTTCATATTCAATGTCATGCTTATTCTTAATCCGAAAGGAGCCCATATTACAGGAAGTGTGTTATGTACTGTTTAACTCATGTGAGTTCATCAGTTCAATATTCCTTGATGGATCTAAAAGCTAAACATGATTTCAAATTGTTTGCAGGTTGTCCGAAGATATTGGCAACGGAATGATATTAAAGGGGCACTTGGTGCGATGGAGAAGATGGCTGATCACGCTGTAATATTGTTCTTCCATGGCATGATTTTATTTAATCTTGTGTGTGTGACTGTGTGTGTGTGTGCTAAGTCTATATTTTAATGCTCCCTTCCACCCTCAACCCCACCCCTCTCAATATCAACGAGTGCGTGCTAACTCTATCAAATGGACTTGTCTTGCAATACATACAGGTGATTGCTGATGTGGTGAGCTTCTTGACAAAACAACCTGACATTATTACATTAGATATCTGCACTTCTCTTCTTCCGCTCCTTTCAGGGCTTCTTGGGGACAACATGGACAGGTAGAGTTTCAGCTTAGAACATTTCTTACTTGTAGTCTCATGACCTGGTATCTGAAAAACAAGTGTGTGCTCTGTTCTATGTTTCTGTAGTTTCTTGAATGACTTTATACTCTACAATTTGTCCTCATTTTTGACTGATGAGTTTTTGGTGCTTTAAATTTCATTACATGCTTGTACAATACCATAGTGCTGAAGCATACTAGTTTTTTTCTTCTTTTCATCTAGGCATCAAGATATTTCACTGGAAATGCTGCTGAAGCTGGTTAAAGTGTTTGGATCGATGATATATTCGTCAATGTCAGCTCCAGCTTCGGTTGGGGTGGATATTGAGGCAGAGCAGAGGTAAATGTTTCTCCATCACTTAATGCTTTCACTCTTCTTTACACTATGTTTGGTTCGAGGAATTTTTGAAGGAAAAAAAATAAAATGAGATGGAAAACTATTTTTCTTTTTTGGGTAGAGAAGAAAAGAAAAAAATGGAAATGGTGAGAAGGAAAAATTTTCTAAGACGGGAAAACCAAATTCCTACCATTTTGGTGAGAAAAATGAGAGAAAACCGCTTTCTTTTTGTTTCTTTTTCTTCCAAATTCCTTGAACCATACATAGCGTAAAGCTCTCATACAAACAACTCCCACCACATCTTTTTGTTTCAAAGGCTGGAGCGCTACAATCTCTGCTACGTTGAGCTTGAGAACATCAAATCTTGTCTTCCCACTCTTACCAGGTGCGTTCATTTTACTAATAGAAAAAAAAAACTCTCAAAAGAATTCCTTTTGTACCTTATGGTGGCTGAGCTAGGATTTTGATTTCCAGAAAAGGAGGATCTATTGCCAAATCTGCACAGGAGCTCAGTCTACTACTAAAAGAATTTTCATAACCAAAAAAACAGTGTTAGTTATTATTTTGATCAGTGAATACTGTTGCCGAGCCACCTGTGGGGGAATATGTTTTTTAAGTTATACGGAGGCAGCGGTTCTGTTTGTACATTCGTGCAAAGGCGAAACATTTAACGGCTAATTCTTTCGGCGTTTTTAACTGAAATCTGGTGACTCGGGGGGACCCACCCCACCCCACCCACCCACCCACTATAAACTGCAGCAGATATGTTGGAAATGGTGTTTCTGCAATGAAGCAGGAAGTGGTGAAGAAGAGAATTATCCATTCATCACACGTTCCTATCATCAATTTAACCCAGTGTTCACTTGTCACCTGTGTAACTGGTAGGGTTTAGGCATTTGGAGTGAAATTTATCTATGTAAAAAAAGGATTGATTGGTTGTATTTAGAGGTTTGATGATATGTTGATGTGTTAATTTCTGAACTGCGTTTAATGGGCTTCAAGTAAAAGTATATAAAACCATTCACTTCAATAATCTATAAAAACTACCTTGATATTTGATATACTCCCTCCGTCCCACTCTTTTCGTCCACTTACGTTTTGGCTCGTAGACCAAGGAGAATAGATTAAAGAAAGAAAATGACTAATATACCCTCGTCTTTTATAAGCGCCAACAAGACGCTAAAAGCTATACAGAATTCTTAGTTTCTTTTGAATGCTTCGAGATCTTACCTTTCTTTTTTTAACAAGAAATCTCCTTTGTGACTTTAATTCTTCTTGTTTTAATTTTAAATCAAGAATCAAAATACCATCGAAAAAACAAAAATCAAATCCAGACTTTTTCAGAGTTGGACAGAAAATGGAGAAAAAAGTTGCTCGTAATTTTTAATGCTTCAAGATCTACTCAATTCATGAAGTTAGGGTGAGGAAAAGGTTATTGGATCAGGCCATAAAATACTTGAGATGAATTACATTAAAAAATTGAATTTAATCAAGAGAAATGCTAGATTTATAAACAAAATGGTTACAAAATTCACAGACTTACAATTTGAAAACTTCAATAAAAAATTTTAAATAGTCTAAAATAATTTTAAAATGAAAATTTAAACTATAAATGGTAAGTTTGTGACTATATTGTTTGTGAATGTAGCATTGCTCTTTATTCAATTATTTCGTTTAAGTCAAGAGTTTATATACCGATTTATTTTTTTCTTTTTAGGTTCTAATTTGGAATATTCTTTAACACTATCTTCAGGTGGATAATTGGGTTATTTTGAATCTAACCGGTTGACTACTTGTAAATAGATTTTTCCTCTCCAGGATATGAAAGAATTGAAAGTGCTAACACCTAAAAGATTACGAATTAGTGGGCATGGACTTCAAACGAACAATTAGGTTGTATGGGGGGCAAATGGGTCATTATGAGTGTATTTCTAAACGAACATCTTAACAAATGAGGTGGATTAAAACTGACTTCAATACTATGATAAAATTTACGATGAGGAAATGATTATTGAATTGGGTTATAAGACACTTGAGTTTAATATGTTTAAAAATTTTCATAATTTTTGTTTGTTTGGTTAGTATTTAGAAAGTTAGAGCACGAAAGTCAAGTTGAGAAGTTAATTCTAGGACGGTGGAAGTAATTTCTTTGAGACCTGTGACTCGATAATTTTTGTTTGTGTATTTTTATATTCATTAGTTGATAAAATAAAATATTTTTGTCACATTTTTTGTGAAATTTTTAATATGTAAATTTTATAAATTATACTTACACCAATTTTTAAATAAATTAATTTTAAAAGATGTAGAGTTTTGCCTGGTAAATGAGACATTGTCTAATTTGGTGGGAGAGAGTATAAGTTCTTTAAAGCTAAATAAAGAATTTAAATTTAATCTTTCTTTGCTCATAATGATGTGATTTTGGTATTCCATAGAGTTTATAGGGAGTAGGGACTACTAGTATTTAAGTGTATAGAGTTTGTTTTTTGGTCAAATTATGATATTTTTTGATCACGAATTAAATATAGTTTAAAATAATTAAATATAATAAAAAATTAATAGTTCAAAACAATATTTTAAAACAAACCAATTTTATTAAATTTACATTATAACTAAATATACTTTTTTCATACCTTGTGGTCAAAGGGTGCCAGAGTTTGACTTAAAAAGTTAAATTGTGACAATCTGTTAGGAACGGAGGGAGTATGAGTTTCCAAAGAGCTTAATACTTCATTCGTCTAAAAAAAGATTCTTTATTTCTTTCTGAGACGTTCCAAAAAATAATGCTCTTTTTTTTTGAAACTTTGGGTGGCTAAGAGTTTTTCTCCCTCTTCTGCGTATCTTCAACAACATATTTTTTTCATTTTTCTTAAACTTAAAGTTAAGTCAAATCAAAAGTCTTTTTTTGGACGGATGGAGTAATTAATTGTTATTTTTTGTCAACTAATATGCCACCTAAGAAACTTGCTCATCTCTTGTGCCGACTGCCGAGTCAAATTAGAGTGTTCACTTCATATCTTTGCCTTTTTCTCCGTCCCAAAATAAGTTGTCTGTTACTTGTTTTCGTAAATTGTTAAAAGTAAAATACCTAAACTTTAGTGGCAATTTCAAAAAATCAACTTTATTTTATCTTTTCTCCTTAAATATGTCCAAAAGTCAAAACATGCGATTTAAAACGAGACGGAGGAAGTATGTTCGGAAATAGTTGCGGACACTGGACGACTCAGAGGCGGTACTCTGCAAACTTTCATAACCTTCATTTTTCAATGAATTGGTGCACTTTCTCTCCATTTCTTTTTTTTTCCCAAAGAAAAATGGAAATGCCACATCCACTTGCACTTATGACATTTGACAGTAGAGATTTTTGATACGATAAGTATCAACGCGGGAAGGGCTCGGAGTGCCTTCTAACTCGTGCAAGAAACTGGGGAAGGAGAAGGGGAAGAAACGAAGAGGAAGACAAGGAGCAAAAGAAGTGCCGTGCGGCAAGGAGAGGGGAAATTAGGGTTTGTATTATTGATAATTATCATGCATAGCATCCGTCCCTATTTATAGTATAGAGACTCCCCCAACCTAAAAAAAACTACGTTGTCTGTTCTGACGGTTCAAAGAAAAGCGACGGGGTAAAGAACCTTAAAGAAACCCCGAAGGAGCTTATAATTCGCTCACCTACTAAAATTCTACGTTACAATAATGAATGATAATAAAATAGAATATTACTCCATCTCGTACTCGCGTTGCCATCCTGGACGACGACGAACGCGAGTGCTTTTGCGCTCTGGTGGCTGTGCCTCCGTAACATTCCCCACCGCTTGAGGAACGACCTTGTCCTCAAGGTCTAAGTCGGGAAATTGACATCGTATCTGGTCAGCCGGTTCCCACGTTGCATCATCAAGGGTACCATCACTCCAACGAACAAGCACTTGATCTACCGGATGACCTGCATGTAAAACACGACGAGAGGCATGAATGCTAACCGGCCGCGAGGGCACACGGCCACCCACCAGCTCCTCGGGCAGTGGTAAGGGAGTGAGGTCGGCCGAAGGCCCCTTGTAAGGCTTCAACACTGCCACATGGAAAACAGGGTGAATGCGAGACGACAGCGGCAATTTCAAACGATAGGCGACCTCCCCAATGCGCTCCAAGATCTCGAAAGGCCCATAATAACGGAGGGAGAGCTTTTGACAGGTGCGCCGAGCGACGGAATGTTGCCGATAAGGCTGCAATTTGAGTAAGACCAGATCCCCCACCTTAAAAGCCACGTCCCGTCGATGGGAATCAGCATGAGCCTTCATCCGCTGTTGCGCGGCTTCCAAGTTTGCACGTAACATGCGCAGCAATTCGTCGCGTTCGGCCAAAACTTCATCAACTGCGGGAACCCGACTCGCGCCCCGTCGATATGGAATGAGGTCTGGCGGAGGCCGACCATAGACAGCCTGGAATGGCATCATTTTCAGACCCTCATGGAGGCTGGTATTCACGGAGTATTATGCCCAGGGTAAGAGGACCGTCCACCGTTTCGGTCTGGCATGCACGAAGGCCTGGAGGTATTGCTCTAATGTGCGATTCATCACCTCCGTTTGGCCATCGGTTTGCGGGTGAAAGGCGGTGCTATGATGGAGGGTGGTGCCACTGAGAGCGTGTAATTCCCGCCAAAATATACTCGTGAAAACCTTGTCACGATCCGAAACGATTGAACGAGGGAACCCGTGCAACTTGATGACCATGTCCACAAATAGAAACGCCGTGCGATGAGCATCAAAATCACCCGGAAGAGGACCGAAGTGGGCATACTTGGAGAGCCTGTCGACGACCACCAAAATAACAGAGGATCCTTGGGAAGGGGGAAGCCCAGTGATAAAATCCATGGTGACATCCTCCTAGATTTGTTGCGGAATAGGGAGGGGCTGGAGCAACCCGCCGTGCGGTTGCGTTGAAAACTTGGTCGTTTGACATGTATGGCATGCTGCAATATATGCCCGGACCTCTGATCGCATGCGGGGCCAGTAAAATGAAGTGGCCAGCCTGAAAAACGTACGGTGGACGCCCGCATGACCTGCTGTTGGCGTGTCGTGGTACTCCCGGAGAAGAACCTGTCGTAGAGGTGATTCGGCCCCAATGCATAAGCGGGTGTTGTAGAGGAGCAGTCCATCCACGACGGTGAACGGGGGCCGGAGGGTGCCACGTTGGTGAGCTTGGTGGAGGTGCAGCAGGTCCGGTTGGGTACTGTTTTCGGCCCGAATCTGCTCCAGGATGTCTGGCAGTGGCTGGGACAAAGCCAAGAATGCAGTGGTTGTCCCTGAATCTTCCTGCCGCGATAAGGCATCGGCGACACAATTTGTCCATCCCGGCTTATATTCAATTTTGAACCGGTATCCCAAAAGCTTTCGGACGTAGAATTGTTGATCCGGAGTTTGGATCACTTGGTGGAGTAGTTCTCGTAAGCTTCGTTGATCAGTCCGGATCAGGAATTCCCTACCCAACAAATATTGGCGCCACTTTTGAACGGCCTCCACGATGGCATAGAGTTCCTTATGATATGTTGACGCGGCCAGTCGTCGGGGACCCAATTTTTTACTGAAATATGCCACTGGTTGCTCGGCCTGAAGTAGTACGGCCCCGATTCCGGTAGCTGAAGCGTCCGTGTCCACCACAAAGGGGGTGGAGAAATCTGGTAACCGAAGCACGAGTGCGGTGGACAGGGCTGTTTTCAACGCCTTAAAAGCTTCAGTTGCTCTCAGTGTCCATGAGAAGGAGTGTTTTTTGAGCAAGTCAGTTAATGGAGCCGCCAAATGAGAATAGTGGTGAATGAAACGCCTATAATAACCTGTTAACCCCAAGAAACCACGCAGCTGTTTGATCGTCGTTGGCGTTGGCCAATCCAACATGGCCTCAATTTTTGTACGATCGGCCTGGAGCTGTCCATTAGTAATGACATGGCCGAGATAGTTAACGGTAGTTGAACTGAACGAGCATTTGGACAGCTTCACAAAGAAGGTATGAGTGCATAACAGATTCAACACGACCTCGAGATGCCGCGTGTGGTCTTCGAGCGTGGGGCTATAAACCAATATGTCGTCGAAGAAGACAATCACAAAGCGGCGCAGATAAGCAGCAAACACCCGATTCATGCATGCCTGGAATGTGGATGGTGCGTTTGTTAACCCAAATGGCATAACCCGAAACTCGTAATGGCCCTCGTGGGTACGAAAGGCGGTCTTGTAGATATCCCTATCGCACATCCGGATTTTGATGGTAGCCCGAACGAAGGTCCAATTTGGAGAAGAAGCGCGCCGCCCCAAGCTCATCAAACAATTCATCGGCCGTGAGAATATAAAAATGATCGGGTATTGTGACTGCATTCAAGGCTCGGTAATCCACGCAAAAAAGATATGACCCGTCTTTCTTCTTAACTAGCAACACCGGGGATGAAAAAGGGATTCGGCTAGGTTGAATTAAGCCCTGATCGAGCATCTCCCGAACGAGTCTCTCGATCTCGTTTTTCTGAAATTGTGGGTAACAGTACGGCCGTACATTCACCGGGTTGCTGCCCGGTTGGAGGAATATCCGATGGTTGGCTAGGCGCCGTGGTGGGAGTCCGGTGGGCTGCGTAAAGATGTATCCAAAACGCTGGAGGACCTCCTAGATTTGCGGTGGAAGGTCGGCTGGCCACTGGAGATCAAAGGGAGCCTGTGCCGTGGGGTTGGGAGTCAGCACCAATTCAAAACATGCCGCAATATCGGTCGAAGTTTGGAGCACCTGTAAGTGATGCAATGATATGGGCCGAGGGCCTAGGCCGTCCCCTTTCAACCGAACCTGGGTCCCTTGCCACTCAAATTCCATAGACGGGCAGGCGTAGTCGTGAGTCACCCTCCCGAGCAACTGTAACCATTGCACGCCCAGAACCACCTGGGGGCCATGGATGGGTAACACAAAGAGATCAACGGCGAAGGAAAATCCCTGGAGGAGGAGGGTTACCTCGGAGCAGCGTTGTTTACACAGTAGTGATGCGCCGTTCCCAACATAAACGCGGAAGGCAGCACATCGGTAACGAGAAGATGAAGTTTCTCGACCACGGATGGGTGAATAAAATTGTGGGTGCTCCCACCATCGATCAAAACATCTACGATGACCTCGGAGATCATACTAGACAGCCGTAAAGAGCGCGGAGTAGACACACCTGCCATGCTATGTAAGGAGGAAACGTCCGCCGTGAGGAGAGTATCATTCGTGATAGCCAAAGGGAGTTCCTCCTCGTCATCATCCTCGAGGAGAAGGAGAAAGCGGCCACAACGATGGCCCTTGACCCACTTCTCGTCACAATTGTAACACAACCCTTTGGCGTCCCGTTCCTTTTTTTCCGCATAAGAGAGTCAGCGTATCGGTGGTGGGGCTGTACTTTTGACATTCGGCGATGGTTTCTGTCCTGGAGGTGGCAGCAACGGCGGAGGGGCCTGGGGGTTTTTCGGCCCTGCATAGTCCCGCTGGAAAGGCGGTTTGGAAGGAAGAGATGAAGTCCATGCAGAATACTTGACTTCTAATTCACGAGCCAGAGCAAAGGATGCCGATAAAGAATCCGGTTTAAGAATCATAACCTCGTGTTGGAGATGCGGTTTGAGGCCGGCATTAAAGAGAGATTGGAGGTTGGCCTCGTCCACTCCCGTAACATTAACCAATACCTTCTCAAAGGCTTGTTGGTACTCCAAGATAGATCCGGTTTGTTGAACCTTGGAGAGCAACCCAAAATAATCCACATAACTCAATGGGTCAAACCGAAGTTTGAACTTCGTGATGAAATCCCCCCACGAACGCAAAAGATGATTGCGTTGGCGCCATCGAAACCAATCCAAGGCTGGTCCCTACAACATAAGAGATACGGCAGCTAGCCGGGACTCCTCGGGTACGGCATAGAAGACAAAAAACTCCGAGCCTTAAACAGCCACCCCAAGGGGTCACTGCCATCAGTTTTGGGCATCTCCAATTTTAACTTGGACAAGAGAGACCCTGTTTCTGACGTGCGAGGGCCCCCGGCAGAGGACGGGTTACCAGCTGAACGTGCCAACACGGACTCCACTTGACACTGCAACTGTTCGACGTTGTGGTTTAGGGTTTGCATGGCGGACGTGTGTGAGAGCATCTGGACATCGATCTGCTTCTGAAATTCTTGAAAGTCGGCTGCCGTGATAGGATTAGAAGCCATGACAACTCAACGAGAGCACCAATGATACAATAAGTATCAACGCGGGAAGGGCTCGGAGTGCCTTCTAACTCGTGCAAGAAACTGGGGAAGGAGAAGGGGAAGATACGAAGAGGAAGACAAGGAGCAGAAGAAGTGCCGTGCGGCAAGGAGAGGGGAAATTAGGGTTTGTATTATTGATAATTATCATGCATAGAATCCGTCCCTATTTATAGTATAGAGACTCCCCCAACCTAAAAAAACTACGTTGTCTATCCTGACGGTTCAAAGAAAAGCGACGGGGTAAAGAACCGTAAAGAAACCCCCGAAGGAGCTTATAATTCGCTCACCTACTAAAAATCTACGTTACAATAATGAATGATAATAAAATAGAATATTACTCCATCTCGTACTCGCGTTGCCATCTTGGACGACGACGAACGCGAGTGCTTTTGCGCTCTGGTGGCTGTGCCTCCGTAACAATTTTCTCATAATCACCGAGTCCATCCTAAATGACTTTGATCTTTCTGAAGTATGCCATGATGGGCAAATTATATGGTACATCGAGCTGTACCTCTTTAGGCAGAGACTGGTATTTTTGTAAATTTTGTAAACATTTTATCTAATGCGCAAAACATATATGAGAACTATTATATATGACAATGAGTACCGGCATATTTGAGAAGGAGTATCAGCGCTTATGAGAATTATCATATTCTTATTCAATACAAACATGAATAAACCTGGGTTTTAAATTCTTCATGCTCAGAGAGTATAAATGAGTAGGAACCAATTGAATAGAGGAAGATCCAACAAAAAGGGTATGGATGAAAAAGTTGATGATGGTACTGAACTTTTTAATTGTGAAAAAATTGAACAATACTTTATTTCAAAATGAACATTTCCTTATTTAAGAATGTGTATTGTTTTTTTAAGAATGAACACTATGCTATTTATTATAAGTATATTAGACAAATGTGTAAAAATGAGTACTTCTTTATTTTAAAATGAATACTATCTTTGCCAGAATGAGTACTACGTATTTCGAAATGAATGTTTATGTTAGACAATAATAATAATATTAGTTCTGGTAGTATTGGTTATGGTAGTGTTTGATTATTAGTCAGTTTCATATTCCTATTTGTGGTAGATGTTGTATGTTAGTTAGTTTCCATTCTCTATTCCTAGTTGTGTTAGGAGTCTCTCCTATATATACTCTATCATGTATTCCATAATTAAAAGAGCAATATTATTATTACAATATTTCAACATGGTATCAGAGTCACCGCTCTTGGTGACCTAAAAGAGTTCTTTGTTTCCGCCGCCGCCGCCGGTAATTCCGGCGACGGCGGCTCCACCTTATTGACTTCTATTTTCTTTTCCTTCTTTTATCCTCAAATCAACTTCTCCATTCAAATAAAAAAAACCCTGTTGAAATCACAAAAAGAAACCATCAAAGGAGGAACTTTTCTCTTGTCATCTCCATGGTTCTTAAAAAAATCAATTCCACACAAACTCTCTCAACTCATCATATCTTCTCAAAAAAGGAAAAAAACCGATAGTTGTTTCTCTCCAATTCACCATATCAAAATCTCAGACCCAAATCTTTTTTTTCATCACCAATTCTTTACCCACTTTTTTCTCTCTCAAATCACTCATTCTAATCATCAACCCCCCTTCTCTTTCTCATCTGTTGAACGAATCAAAATCCAAAGTACATCAGCACAATAGCAATTAAAATCAAGAGGGGAAGTAGTGAAAGAGGAAAGAATACCTCTACAACTCACCCCTTCAAGAAAGAAACAAGGCATTGCCCGAATTCAAGTAAAAGACAAAGAATGTCAAGGATCTTCAATCAAACAGGCACCTCCAATAGCCTTCTCTATTCTTATTCGACGTCAGTAGCTACAAGCGCGCGTCAGACTTCTTTCTTCTCCAACAACGTCTGTAGCCACCGGCGCACGTCAGACCTCTCTCTTCTCTAACGACGTCAGCAGTCACTGGCGCACGTCAGATTTTTCACTTCTCAAAGTTTCCAGTTTCCAGCTAGTGTCCAAGCTTTCTCTTACTTTAGCTAGAGTTTAGCTTGAGGGGGATGTTAGACAATAATAATAATATTAGTTCTGGTAGTATTGGTTATGGTAGTGTTTGATTATTAGTCAGTTTCATATTCCTATTTGTGGTAGATGTTGTATGTTAGTTAGTTTCCATTCTCTATTCCTAGTTGTGTTAGGAGTCTCTCCTATATATACTATATCATGTATTCCATAATTAAAAGTGATAGGAACCAAGCCCATCTAGAGAATACTAGCGAATTGGGCCTTGGCCCAATTTAGATCCCGTCCATCAAAAGGAGTATCCGGCCCAGAGAAAATATACTGGGCCGGTCAAAGGAAGTTGTCCGTGAGAAAAGATAGGAAAAAGGAAAGGATTGGGGGCTTAAGGATGGGCTGAAGCCCAGCCCACTAAGAATAAGCTACCCCAAAAAGGAAAGGAATCCTGTGGAAGAGTCTAGAGTAGTCCCCCCTCAATTGAAGGGACAAGGACGAGGAGAAAGGGACGGACAGGGAGCAAGAGATGGATGGAGAGGCTTGTCCTCCAGTGGACGACCTCAAGCTGAGATACATCCCCCCAGAAGGAGTAAGGCTGGCACGAATATTCCCCCAATCACTGCCATTATTGAAGAGGATAATGGATAAGGAGTGCCTATAAACGAGAGAGTGACTTGGGGAGTAGAGATATCTTGTAATAAAGAGAGAAAATACTTGACTAAATAATAAAAGATATTCCGGCGATCCTTAAGCATATTCCGTTCCTGAGAGGACCGAATAAAGGAGAGGACCGCCGGTTTGAGTTCTTATTCCGTGAGCAGTGCTTCCATTACTATTAATTACTATTCTCGTATTATCCTTCAATATTATAAGGCCCGGATACCTATATTTGGACCTGGGCCGATCTACAGTCCCTGGGAAAATAATGGGTATCCATCACTGGCGCCGACCGTGGGACCGATTGAAGCTTCCTAGCCTTCTGGGAGTTGATAGCGAGCCTATCTCATTCCTGTTCACTTGGAAAGACCTCTTCCTAGACCTGGGAAGAATCAGCGGTCCACTCCAAGTGAGGGAGATAAGTTTGCGGTCCATCCAGAGGGACTCCTTGTATTAGTCGGTCCGCCAAAAAAAAGAGGAGAGAGAAAGGAGGACCGATCCTCCACATAGGACCGCATTCATAAGTTGGTCATCTAGGAGGACCAATTTCTTGCTCAGGGACCGTTATCTCATATCAGTCCCCCCTTTTCCATCAAAGGAGGTTTCCAACAGTCATCATGGGGAAAAATCGGTCCAAGAGGAACAAAATTGGAGCTAAGGCGCGAACCAACTTGGAAGGGAAAGAAAAGCTTTCATCTCAAGATCTCAGAAATCAAATAACTCTCTCCCAATCCAGGCGTGAAACACAAGACAAATCTTGTGAACAGAGTTTCCACTCTAAAGCCCCTAAGAGTTCTCATCCAAAGGATTTTCAAGCAGCAACAGAAAAATTTGACGCCAACTCCCCCATAGTCCGGAAGTTAATCGGATGGCTCAACAAGGAAGGAGAGGCCCGGTCCCAAGGGGCCGGGAGAGAAACGGGTCAAGGAGAGGATGAGGAGGTAGAGAGCCAAGGGCGCATATCACTACATAAGAGGATGCGCAAAAATGCGTCCCAAAGGCTGGGACCCAGAACTCAGGAATCTTGAGAAAATTCTGGGGGCACGGCAATGAAGATGCCAGAGACATCCTCAAATTGAGAAAAGAAATGGAGGAACTAAAGAGGCAGGTTGATAAGGATGGGTCTTTTGGACCCACACTAGAGATAATTTCTCCTTTTACTGCCAGGGTGATGAAAGCTCAACTGCCCAAGGGTATGAAAGCCCCTGAAATCCGTTATAAAGGAGTCACCGATCCCAATGATCACTTGGCCGCGTACCAAACTCACATGTTGATGCATGCCGTGGAGGACGAGATCCAATGTCGCCTCTTCGTAGGAACCTTGGAGGGGCCGGCCGTAAAATGGTTCCTCACCCTTCCTAATGGGACCATTGATTGCTTCAAAGATCTTGCTCAACTTTTCATCAATGCCTATGGAGGAAGGTTCCAGCCAAAGAAGCACTTCACCCATCTTTTCTCCCTAAAGAAAAAGGAGGGAGAAACCAACACTGAGTTGGTACAAAGGTGGAATGAGGCGATAAATGAGGTGGAGCCCAAGGACGATAAGACTTCCATCGCTCTAGTCATGAGTGTTCTCAGATTGGGGGAATTGTTCAGAAAGTTAGATTACGATACCCCCACTTCTTACAAGTCTATGATGGCTAGGGTCAACAAGTTTTGTGCCACGGAAGAGTCGGACTGCCTAAAAGGAAAAGATGAGGGAGCCTTCACAAAGGTTCAGAAAAAGAAAAGAAAGGCGAAAAAACTAAGGCGACCACTCTCTCCATCCCTACCCTTAAGCCGCTGGCCGCACTGGTGGCAGAAATTAAGAGCAAGGAGGGGGGTGGACAGAAGAGGAAACGTGGAGACCAAAAAAGAAGGCAGTGGCCCTATGACCCAGAAAAATATTGCAACTTCAATAGAAGGCCTGGGCACACCACCGAAGAATGCCAATTCCTCAAAAAGATGGAAGGAGAGATGAAGGAAAGGGAACCGAATGCTAATCGGGAACCAAACCAGGGAGGTAATGTTTGGCGTAGGGACGCCCGACCTCAACAACAAGTCCAGGAAAACCCGGAGGAATTTCCCCAAGTAGGATTCATCTTTGGCGGCCCAACAATCGGGAATCAGGAAAGAAGATCTCACAAGGCTTAACATGCCCTTATCTGGTTTCACTGGAGACGTAATTGAACCAGAAGGGTCCATTAAGCTGGACGTCATCATAGGCGAGCGTCCAAAGGTGAGGCATATGAGGATGGATTTTTTGGTAGTTGATATCAAGTGTGCTCACAACGCCATCTTAGGGAGGCCTGGACTCGAGGACTTAGGAGGGGCGTTATCCCTTAAGCACCTGTGCCTCAAATTTAAGACTCCCGAAGGTGTTGGGAGAGCCCTCGGTGACCAGCCCGCAACCAAGAAGGCCTATCTAAGTGCCTGCAAGAGGATAGACAAGGAGAACCTCCACATCCAAACCATTGGGCAAGCCTTAGAAGATAAAGAAAGGAAAGAGGAGAACCGGGAGAGGCCTAAGCCGACTGTGGAGTTGGAAGAAGTGATGTTATTCCTTGAGGGGGATCCAGAGAAAGTTATAAGGATCGGTTCGGGGCTAGATGAGGATACCCGTGGAGAGATTATCCGAGTATTAAGAGAAAACTCGGTCGTCTTCGCATGGGAATCCAAAGATATGCCCGGAGTCGATCCTTCAGTCATTTGCCATAAGTTGAACATCAAGATGGACTCCCTCCCGGTCAAGCAGAAGAAAAGGTATCTGTCCACGGAAGAAAAGAATTTGTGAGGAAGGAGGTGAAAACCCTTTTTGAGGCCGGCCACATTAGGGAGGTCCAATATCCCAAGTGGCTGGCCAATGTGGTGCTGGCACCAAAAGGGGACACATTTCGCATGTGTGTGGACTTCACTGACCTCAATAAGGCATGTCCTATGGACCCCTTTCCATTACCAAGAGTGGATCAACTAGTAGATGAAACGGCGGGCCATGAACTATTGAGTTTCATGGACGCCTTCCGAGGGTACCATCAAATTTTTATGCATAAAGATGATGCGGAATTCACAACCTTTATCACCCCTGAAGGAGTATATTGTTACATGGTCATGCCCTTTGGACTGCGTAACGCGGGGGCCACATTTATAAGAATGATCTCCTTACTATTCCAGGAGGTCCTGGGACATATCATGGAGGCTTATGTGGATGACTTATTGATCAAAAGTAAGCAAGCAACGGACCATCCTCAACACTTGGAAAAATGCTTCAGCATCATGAGGAAGCATAATTTGAGATTGAACCCCAAAAAATGCGCCTTTGGGGTCCAGGGAGGAAAATTCCTTGGTTACATGGTAAGCAAGAAAGGGATTGAAGTCAATCCGGACAAGTTGAAGGCCATCCAAGACATGGAACCGCCAACAAATTTGAGGGAGGTCCAGAGGCTAACAGGAAGGATAGCGGCCCTGGGAAGGTTCTTGGCGCGGTCTGCGGAGTGGTCCCTGCCCTTTTTCACACTTTTAAGGGGGGGGGGATTTCCAATGGACCGCAGAGTGCCAGGAGGCCTTTGAACACTTGAAGGCATATTTGAGCTCTCCACCGGTCCTCTCCAAGCCATTAGCAAGGGATGTCCTTTTCTTATACTTGGGAGTGGCCCACTTGGCAGTAAGTCTGGTCCTCTTAAGGGAAGAAGAAGGAGTCCAAAGGCCAGTTTATTACACAAGCAGGGCCTTAAGAGGACCGAAAACAAGGTACACTCCCTTGGAAAAATGTGTTTTGGCTGTGGTGGTGATTGTGAAGAGATTAACTCCTTATTTCCAAGCTCACCCAGTAAGAATCATGACGGACCAGCCTTTGGGAGCAGTTTTGAGGGACCCATCTTCTTCAGGAAGGGTCATCAAATGGGCTATGGTCCTCTCTCAATATGATATTTTTACCAGCCTCGTTCCAGCAATAAGGGTCAAGTCATTGCAGATTTTATGGTGGAGTGCACAGCAAGAGGGAAGCCAGAAGAGGATGGGACCAGTCAGGAGAGAAAAAAGGAGATATGGGAGATTCATTCAGATGGATCCTGCACTAAGGACGGTTCAGGAAGAGGAGCGGTCCTCACCTCCCCCGAAGGCTTCAAGGCTTATCATTCCTTTAAGTTCACATTTCGGGCCACCAACAACGAAGCGGAATATGAGGCCCTCATTGGAGGAATCCAGGTTGCCCTATTTATGAAGCTAAAGCACATTCGTCTTAAATCCGATTCAAAACTGGCCATCGGACAGCTAAAAGGAGAAATGGAGGCCAAGGAAGGAAGGTTGAAAAGATACAGGGACTGCGCCAGGACTCTACTTGGACAATTTGAGTATTATGAACTCATATATGTTCCAAGGGAGGAGAATAAAGAAGCGGATATGCTTGCCAAATTATGTAGGACCATTCCCATCCACATGGAGGGTATAGTAAGGCAGCACGAGAAGACTTGTCCTGTTTGGGAAGAGGCGGTCCCTGTCCTTGAAATATCCGGTCCATGAGTAATAAAAAAAGAGGGACCAATTTCCCACAATAATGGATAAAATCAGAAGAGAGGCATACAAAGAGGACCGATCCGTACAAAAAAGTGACAAAATCAATACAAGAGCACATAAGGACCGTTCCTAAACAAACTGCAATGAAGGCTTGAGAATTCAGGGCGAGGGAGAGGAACGGAGGTAAGAAGGCTCTGGTCCCATGGGTCTTGGGATGCCTGGAAACTTCAGCCAAGGATCTAGTCCGTCAGAGTAGGGCTCAAGTCCATGATAAAATTTCTGTTGGACCTCCAACCCTCCGCGATAGAAACCTCGACCGTAGTCTGAGATGCGATCGGCCTCCATCCGAGCCATATGTCCCTCATAAGTAAGACGCTCGTTCTCAAGCAAGCGACGGGCCTCATCAAGAGAACTCCGAGCTGAACGCCTCTCCTCCATAAGAGTCAAGTTTAGTTCGTCGACTTGTTGAGAAAGTCGATGTTCCGTTTCTTCGTGTTGGAGGTGCCACCTCTGCTCAACCTCTTCCGTCGCCTTCCTCGCCTCCTCCTCGGATCGACAACGCCACGTTCGCTCCAGCTCCTCCTCTGATCTCTTTCGGTGGAGTTCGGCCTCCTCTCGAAGTTTCAATTCATGCTCTCTGACCTGCCGTTCCAGGTCCCTCCTCAGAAATTCCATCTCCTTGAGATCGTGGATCCGGTTTAGGTCACGCTGTCCGACCTTGGCCGCAAGCCGCTCACGGTCAGAGTGGAGCTGATCGTTCTCGGACAAGACCCGGTCATATTCCGGACGCTCAACACAAATAGAATGCCGGGATTTGAAATCCCTTAGCTCCCGTGATAAAGCGGCATTGCGGTCCAGGAGACGAAGGGAATGGCGCTGAGCGGAGGAAGTGGCAACATAATCGGCCTGTCAAAAGAAGAAGGAAATAAAATTTAGCAATCAAAAAGAGCATAAGGAAGTGGGTGAAAGAATTAGAATGAAGGAGAAAAAGGACACTGACCATACGAGTATACTCCTCCTGCATAAATGGCCAGGCTGGGCTTTGAATCACATCTTGGTGGTCCCTCTTAAGCTGTTGTATCTCTTGAAGCTTGTTGTTGAAGTCCCGTCCAACCCAGGACGTGTACCCTGTGAACTGATACGCCTCCCGAGCATAGGGAAAGGGCTGACTCCCTTGCCCGGTAAGAAACCCATCATCGGCGGTCCCCATGGGAGGACCGGCGGACACTAGAGAGCCAGGGAGAGGAGTGGAGTTCCGGCCCCTCTTGTGGCGGGCCTGAGAAGAAGAGGAAGACCCAGTCTCCTGAGTTGATGGATCGGGGACGGCAGTGGAACGGATGGAGGATGGGACAATAGCCTTTCCAAAACTGGAGGACCGAATTAGCTCCTCCGTCTCCAAAAAAGACTGATGGATGTTTGCTCCAGGGAGAAGAACGTCGCCGTGGCCAAAGGGTGTCCCAAAAATACTCTCCGCCGCAGAATCTGCAAAATTTAGGATATTGGACGGTTGGGGCTGGGAAATTGCTTCGTCCCCCCCCCCACAGCCAGAGGAGGGGGAATATTCCCAAGGAGATTCAGTGCTGCACGGAATCCCAATCCTGGCCACCTGAACGTGAGGCGGCTCAAGGGACCCTTGCGAACCAGTGGCGCATCCAGTCGGAAGGGTCCCACTGGTTTGGGGATGGAAACCTAGTGGAGCCATGGGCTGAGCCGAAGAAGAAGTCCCCCTGCCAAAGAAAGGAGTGTGGGGAACGCCGGGGATAAGGCTGGATCCCCTCAGGGTCCCCGGAGGGAAGTCGTAGAGGCCATCATCTTCGGAGACGTCCTCAACCACCACCTCTTCCGAAAGGGGAGGTTTGTCGACAAGCACCAGTGATAGGGCCCCAGTCGCGGACCATGCTTCTTCGCCCTCGGTGTCCTCCTCCGGGGAAGGATCACTTCGAGAAGACCGTCGCGATCCCCGACGGAGTCGAGCATTCCTAAGAGGAGGAACCCAAGAGGAAGTTGTGTTTCCCGACTGCTCTTGAAGAGGAATATCGGGAGACACCCAATATCCGAGACCCTGGAAGTACGAATCCTTGAAGAGAAGCACTTGGGGAACCGGATGAACGTTCTTAAGGAGAAGACGGTAGATCCCATCAAGCTCCGAATCACGAGGGGGAAAAGTGTGAGAAGGAAATTTGTCTTCCTTCTCTCGCCACGCGTTAGGGAAGGGGAGGTCCTCCAGGACTATCACCACGAAGAAGCGGCGGAACCAATCATCGAGTTTGTCAACCGGGCTATCCAAAAGTTGCATATCGGTCCGGGCCATGAAGCTCACGAACCCCCGGCCCAACTCGCTGTCGTATTTGTGGGGGCGGAAGAAAGAGAGGAAGAGTTTCAAGGTGGGTTGGATGCCTCTCTTATGACACCGCGCCAAGAAGCCAAAGAGACTCTCGTGGGAATTTGAGGAAATCTGGCCGAGAAGGATGGCGTAGCGGTTGCAGATTTCAACCAAAAGGGGATGGAGAGAAAAGCGACATCCCATCCTAACCGACTCGTAGTGAACGACCAACCGGCGGGAGATGTCAATGTTGCGCTCCAAAGTAGTACCTGTGGCTTCCTGGACGTCGTAATCACGATGAATCATTCCCCTCATCTCCCCCAATTGCGCAGGAGTGATGGAGGAAACACTCTCGTCCTCCTTGGATTTCTTGCTGCCGTTGAAGATCTTGGAAACCTTGGAGATTGTCTTCTTCATGGTAAGAGAGAGTAAAAGTCAAGGAAAGGAGAGAGGCTGGTTCGGCAAAAATGAAAGCAAGGGACTGGAGAGTTGTGTGAGCGTGGGAAAGGAGAGAGGAGATGGACCAGATTTATAGAAGAAGAGGAGAGGGAGAAGAAACGGTCCATTCAAAATTGCTCCTTTTCAGGCGTGGTCCGCGTCTTTCTGCCAACAGTCCCACCGTTATTAAGGTGGGGGACTTTGAATTATGCGCAGTCGAACGGTCCAATGCAGCAGTTAAGGGAATCAGAGGAACCGGTCAAAAAGGGTGTAACGTTTGAAAAAGTGGGCCATGGATATTTTAAGTGGCGCAGGCTTCCAGCGGTCCATTCCCCAAAAAACATTTTTCCCATGCGCACGGTCCACGCCTAAGCCTTCACTACCATTAATCTTCTGCCAACGGTCCACCATTATTGGTGTCCAGGGACTGTACGCATGATCAAGCAACAATGGGACAGACCCGTGACACTGCGGACCAGTGGAAGTGTGCCACGTGCTCTATACTCACCCAATTATTCATCCATGGCCCGCAAAGATGTGCTGTGGAAAACATCATATGGGGTGAGTATAAATTGAATTTTGACTACAGTAAAAAAAAAATTCCAATAAAAAGAAGACACAGGAAAAACTTTCCAATAAAGCATGCAAGGAAGACTACAGTCAAAAAAAAATTTTATTTTTTGACTTGTAAAAAAAGGGGCATGTGATGGGAACCAAGCCCATCGAGAGAATACTAGCGAATTGGGCCTATGCCCAATTTAGATCCCGTCCATTAAAAGGAGTATCCGGCCCAGACAAAATATACTGGGCTGGTCAAAGGAAGTTGTCCGTGAGGAAAGATAGGAAAAAGAAAAGGATTGGGGGCTTAAGGATGGGCTGAAGCCCAGCCAACTAAAAATAAGCTACCCCAAAAAAGAAAGGAATCTTATGGAAGAGTCTAGAGTAGTCCCCCTCCGAGGAGAAAGGGACGGACAGGGAGCAAGAGATGGACGGACAGGCTTGTCATCCAGTGGACAGCCTCAAGCTGAGATACATCCCCCAGAAGGAGTAAGGCTGGCACGAATATTCCCCCAATCACTGCCATTATTGAAGAGGATAATGGATGGGGAGTGCCTATAAAAGAGAGAGGGACTTGGGGAGTAGAGATATCTTGTAATAAAGAGAGAAAATACTTGTGTAAATAATAAAAGATATTCCAGCGATCCTTAAGCATATTCCGTTCCTGAGAGGACCAAATAAAGGAGAGGACCGCCGGTTTGAGTTTTTATTCCGTGAGCAGTGCTTCCATTACTATTAATTACTATTCTCGTATTATCCTTCAATATTATAAGGCCCGGATACCTATATTTGGACCTGGGCCGATCTACAGTCCCTGGGAAAATATTGGGTATCCATCAAAAAAAGCAATATTATTATTACAATATTTCAACAGTTATATTTGTACGAGAATGAGTACTCTTTTATTTCGAAATGAGTACTAGCGGGATGTACCTATTTTTAGGTACATCCGGATGTACCATATACCAACTCGCCACGATGGGATACATATTTTATTTACAATTTTCCAACTCCTATTTGACTTGATATATCTACGGGTTGTTCGCCATGAAAACATGTCTTTAATTAATATTGTTTCAGAGCTTTAATTTGTTGCATTTTCAACTTGTGTTAAAGGGTTTGGCATCATTCCTTCTATGGTATTGTAAATCCTTGACACTAGCATAACATTCACAATAATCTACCACCCTTTTGCATGTTCATCATCTTCTGGTCAATGGATGAATTCGTCAACGAATCCAGACTTTTGTTCAGCGTGAAGAGCGACTCACATTGTCTGCACCCATTCTTCATTCATAATGATCAGTACTAGTAAATTTGACTTGTTTGATAATTAATCCGGGTGTATCCACATTTTTAATTCATATGAACTCACCTCTAATTTATTGAAGCTTTCTCATCTTCAATTGATTGCTTGTCGCGCGGTCGTGGAAGACTTTTCGTCCTCCACTATTATTGTCGCCGACGGGTCATGCAACTCTTACACTAGAACTCGATCGGTCGAGCTACCAGACCGTTACAAGTTGACGGTTGACCATCATGATCATAAGTTTTGCATTGATACCATGATAATAATGAAGCTTAAAGAGTGAAGAAGAAGTTTATCTCTTGGCATATTTCCTTCACCACATAACACATCTGTATATATGAAAAAAAGAACAAAAGCTAGCTTACATATAAAGTAAAAAAATTATCCACAAATCCATAATCACATGCAAGATTACAAGTAAAAGACCAATAAATAGTAAATCACTAATTAAATAGTACTCTTTTTGTCCCGAAAAGATTAGTAGAGTTAAATTTTATTGAACAAACGTGCAACTTTTTGACCATAAGCTAAATGAAGTTTTAAGTAATTAAATATTATAACAATTTGATACATCAAAACTTTATATTAAAATCGACCCAATTTAACTAGACTTAGATTATTATCGAACTTATTCTTTTCATAATTTCTGGTCAAAATATTAAAGGTCTCCTAATGGAGCAAATTAAACCATGCATATACACACCCTCCTCATACTCGTCTCTTGGAGTCCAATTAAGTTGTTAATGTTGTTGTTGCGTCTAGTCAGAGTGTTACGTGGTTTGACCATAAAAGTCTAACTATATTTTTTTAGAGGGAAGGGCTAAAAGAAAGAAATCAATCCAAATCTTTCACCAAATCGCTTTGATCATACTTCCACGTGTAACACTTTCAAATCTCATAACACTATTTTGGAACGATGAATTTGTGTAAAAAGAAAAAGACCACAATAAAATTGTTTACTTTAGAGTATTGAAATGGGTGTAACGCCAGGGGCATCAACCGGCTTTTGATGCCAGTTGGGCATTAAACACCGCCCCATGGCAGCGTTACACGAGCATTATGTCCCTTGCGTCAAACTTTTGACGCTACCTTTTGGCCTTTGCTTCTTCCTGTTGGCGCAACCCCCCCAACGGCTAAAATAGTCGTGAAACCAAAAAAAATCTTCCTATAAATTCAAACCATCTCTTTCTCTCTATTTCTCTCTATAATTCTTTCAAATATTATTCTATTTATTTTAATTATTTCTACAAAATATTTTAAAAATGGGATCATATTCATTTGATGATGAAAATAGAGCTTTCATTTTTCGTTGTTTTGCCACAAGTTGTTATTAATGGTGGCAACAAGGCGAACAAAAAGAAGCATCCTCCCGACGCCTAACCCGATATCAACGTTTAAACCGGGATCGGGAACGCTTCACTTCTCAACGACTACTTCAATACTTCGTGTGTTTATACACTAGAGAATATTAGTAATCATTTTTGGATGAGTCGTCCTCTCTTTTATGCATACTCACCGATATTTAACGCGAGGTGCCTTGGTTCACCCAATTCTTTGATGTGAGAGGGCAATGCGGGTTTAGTAGTGTCCAGAAGTGGACTGACGTGCTTCGTCAGATGGTGTACATGACGACATCTGATATGTTCGACAAATACTTGAAGATGTCGGCTCGGAGCATCAGGTCCTGTGTTTATAAATTTCTAAAGCTATTATTCAAATTTATTATAAAAGATATTTACGTAAGCTTACAACGATCGACATTGGGCTGTTACAGGCAAGGTATGCCGCTAAACACGGCTTTGTCGGTATGCTTGGGAGCATTGATTGCACGCATTGGGATGGAAAAATTGTCCCACTGTGTGGTATGGTCAGTTCTCCCAGGGTGATCATCTCAAGCCTACTGTCATGCTCAAAACTGTGGCTTCATATAACTTGTGGTTTTGGAACACTTTTTTCTGTGTCGCGGGCTCGAACAACGACATCAATGTCTCGATCAATCACCCGTTTTTTATGATTGGATTAATGAGGCCGCACCCGACTCGTCTTTTAAGCTTAGAGGGACGCTTTACAACTGTGGATATTATTTGGCTGATGGAATTTATCCAGATTATTCCACGATTGTGAAGTTCCTTTCTGAACTAGTGAGTCTTAAACACCAGACCTACAAAAAAACTCATTAGGCGGAGAGAAAAGATATCGAACGAGCCTTCGGGGTGTTGAAGGCAAAGTGACACATTCTAGATCGTCCATCCAAATGTATTTCTCAAACAAAAATGAGGAATATCTTGTACGCATGCATTATTCTTTGTAATATGATCATAGAAAACAACAGATTTACGATTTGTCATTACAACTCGGACGAGGAGGTTCCTATGTACCAAGAAATCGATGAAGAAAAGGAACGAAGAAACCGCCAAGAAATTTGAAGTCGAGAAATTCACAATGCACTAACGGCAAATTTAATCGAACATATCTTCAATCGCTCGTATAATCAGTAATATTTTAGTTGTGTGTTTTTCTTATTCAATGAATGTATGTAATTTTTTAAATTCCATGCATGTAATTTTTTAATGAATAAAATTAAATAATTAAATTTTACTAATTGAATTTTAGAAAATGTGTATTTAAAATGTAAAAAAAATGAAGGTTTAAAGTCTTGGGGCTTCAAACACATTTCTAAAAAATTAGTGAGATAAATTAAAACTGACGTGACAGAAAAAAAATTTGAAGTCTTGGGACATTTTGGGTGTTCTTATTGTTGAACTGTTGAAGACGTCTTCTTTCAACACCGAATAGAAAGTGCATTTGATAATGAGTGCAAATTATACTTTTTTCACGCATTGAGTGAGACTTCAGTTCTACAAACAACTTTTTTCAATATTATTCTCAACTGAGTCCAAAAAAAAAAGCCGCCTATATTACACTACACTTGCCAGCCCCACTCTGGCACAAACAACCATGGCCAATCCGCGCTTCATTTTCGCCATTCCTTGTCTGTTAGCTCTTCTGATCTGTCACGGCGTCTCCGGTCGCCGGACGGCGCCGCTGTCCGAGTCCGGTTCGCCGTCCTCCGTCCCTGCGCCGATTTCAAGGCGCAATATGCTCGCCAATAGCTTCGGCCTCACTCCTCCTATGGGGTAATCGAGCTCTTGTTGTGTTTGAATTCGGGTAGCTTGTTCATTTTTATTGTTG